CAATCTTTGGATTGTTTTCATGTGTGCATTTGGAAATGGTTGAACAGTCATCATTTTGGCTAAAGAAAAGCCTTTTTGTTTCCAAATGAAACTGCCTCCTTATGCTGTGTTTTTGTGTTTCATTTTAAACTTTTATGCAATGGAATAATGAAAAAGAAAGGACTGGATGCATTGGGCATTGCAATACCAAGTATTGCATGCAGTCGTTACAGGAAGCCATGTGCCACCTTGAAGTTTCCCCTTACTAACATTTAGTGGTTTATCTTGGAACTTCAAAAGTATAGCAGGTACTGATAAGAAATGTCAAAAAAAGCAAAGGCAAAATTATTTGCTTTTGCTATGAAAATTTAGTGGAGAATCCAGTAATCCAGTAAGACTTTTACGTATTTGCACAAAGAACTAATGTAAGATTCAGCTCCTTTATTTGCAGGCACAGTTGGCCATTTTTGTTTCTAGCTCCCCGTGATAAGACATGTAACCAAGAGGGTGTGATATTAGGACATAGTGATTTTATAAATGGGTGGAAGAAAGCACTGAACCTGACAACAGTCCTAGAAATTTTGCGTTTTTGTGCTAGCATTTTATAAGCATTGTGCAAAACGAAAGACAGTTGACTATCAGTTGTATAATCTAAGGTTTCAGAAGTGTTCTGTCTTCTTTCTGTCCTTGCACAGAGCCTACATCCTTCTTTCTGTTCAGACAGAAGAAATACTGGTATATTTAGGGTCTTTAGTAAAAACAACAGGGAAGAGTATGAGTTGCAAGGTAGAAGTCTGCCTCAGGCCTCTGACTTGGGCTGGGAAGTAATCGTCTGGGCCCCTTTTTTTTTTTTTTAAGAATCAGTGAGTGGGATTTTGATGGCTTGGAATGGAGAGTGAACTTCCCTGGAATTCTCAAGAAGTTTCTCTAAGGCAAATTTAGTAGTGGTAGTAGTAATAACAATAATAGTTATCATTTATTGAGCATTTACTAATTACTTTGTCGGCATTGTTTTCCCAACAGCCCTGTAATGGTAGGTACCATTATTATTCCTATTTTGTGGAGGAAGAAACAGAAGCCCTGAAAGAGTATATAAGTGATCTTTCCAAGGTTACATAACTAAGGCTGGCAAAATACTTGAAATCAGAACATTCTGATACCAAATTCATATTTTTAATTATAATATACATCTTAGTAATAAAATTATTAGACCCTGCTGGCACAGTGGTTAAGAGCTCAGCTGCTAACCAAAAGGTCAACAGTATGGATCCACCAGCCACTTTTTGGAAACCCTATGGCGTAGTTCTACTCTGTCCTATAGGGTCGCTATGAGTCGCAGTTGACTCGACAGCAACGTTTTTTTTTTTTTTGAAAATATTTTGTAGTTCCTACTAACCTTGAACAGATTCATACCTTCTCTCCCCACCCCGCCCCGCCACAAACACTTTCCCCTCATTTTGAAAGAAACCTTGTAGGTGGGTGCATTTGACAGTAATGTATATTTTTTCTTTTCGTAGAGCCTCTCAGGGTGTTTTAGGTCTCTGTCTGGCACAAGTGGTTTGCACTCAACTACTAAAGTTGGTGGTTCGAACTCACCCAGCAGCACTGTGGAAAAAAGGCCAGCCAATCAGCTTCCATAAACATTACAGCCGAGCAAACTCTACAGGGCACTTCTACTCTGTAACATGTGGGGTTGCCATGAGTTGGAATCGATTCACTGCATCAGGTTTGGTTTTTGGAAACTTTATTCTTTGGATTTCAAATAGCCATATAAAATGAAACAATACCATTTAATTATGTGCGTATGTAATTATCACAACAATTGTACAAAGTAGGTAACATCTCTAGTTCACATATATGATGGATTTGACGGCCGAAAATGTTGAGTAACTTGCCTGAGGTCACACAGCTGATAAGAAAGTGGCAAAGCCAGAAATGAACACTAGTGCTTTCAGCTTGAGAGCCCATGTTCTTTCCACTGTGCCAATGTTCAGGTTTATATAAAAATTGACCATTTCATTGAGAGCAGGTGGAACCACTTCATAGATGCAGTGTAAAACTTGCTTACATGCTTAAAACTTTTAGGTATTAAGTAATGTTTAAAACTTATTCAAAAGCAAGTCTTAATAAAAATTATGTTATGGACATAAAACAATGAAAGTAACAATCAGAAGAGTAAAAAACATTCTCACTGAGTTTTTTTAAAAACAAGAATGATTTTATTAACTGGTTTCTAAGTTTAACTTTCTATTTGAACCAAATTTTTTAAAAATCAATTCCATTTTTAAATTTTTGGAATTAATTTTTGAGTAAGAAATATAAGGAATTGGAACAAAATCCAAAAGGTACAAAAGAGTATACAGTGAAAAGTAAGTTGTCACCCTACGCCTAAACCCCTCAGGTTTCCTTTCTTGCTTATTGTTTCAAAGATATCTTTTAATTGTGTATTTTAAAATTCCTGAATCAAGACTTTGCTTGCCTTTATCTGGTGGATGAATTGCTGCATAAGAGATAAAAGCTTTAGATCAGAACAACCTGGGGAAATAGTAGTTACCATCTCCTAGCCTGTGTTCTCCTCCTAGGTGTGATTCCCAGATCCGTTCATTGTCTTACTAATTTAAAGAGCGTCCTTTCTTAGTTTCCCCTCTACATAAGGCAGAGGTATGGAAAGTGCAGGCTGGTAATTGTAATCATCTTTCACTCATATCCAAATCTAGACAGTTACAAATAACTTTTATGAAATGATACATGCTTAACGAAGCAAATTCCACATGAGAAGTGCTCCCACAGAAATCATTCTCTAGTAGGAAGGGCAAAGAAGGGATCAAGAGTAGTCAACCTTTACCATTTCTGTACATCTGCCCTATTATGCCAGCTGGAAGTGGACCTTTTCTTTTTTTTGAAGTGGACCTTTTCTAAAACTTTTTTTTTTTTTGTACTTGGCATTATTTTAGTGACTCTGCCTTTGGCCACCCACCGTATCATAGGATTTTTTCCCAAGCCTTGGGATCGCCTGACTCTCAACTTACTGTTACTAGACCTAGTTTCTTTTCTTCCTTTGAATGGTATTTATCTAATAGAATGTCATTCCTATACAAAGATACATGTTGTTGTTAGGTGTGGTAAAGTTGGTTCCAACTCATAGCGACCATATGCACCACAGAATGAAACACTGCCCAGTCCTGCGCCATGCTCACAATCATTGTTATGCTTGAGCCCGTTGTTGCAGCGACTGTGTCAATCACAAAGATACATAAATAATACTATACACTTTGGTCAGAAATATTGTTGAAGATCGAGGTTTTGAGTGATGCAGAATCTATTATTCCTATACCTGATCAAGATTGTAATTTCTTTAAAACTCTGTAAACAAGTCTGTATTATGCAGCAAAGGGTACTTGTTTGGCATTCCAAGTCCCTGGAGTTGAGGCAATTAGCACAGACCCTGTAGCTTTTGACCCATATTTTGAAGTGAAGAACCATAGCCTTATTAAAATTGGAGGGGACCTAAAAAGAGTAGCTGCTGAAGCAAATACCTCATGGGATTTGATTCCTTAGTTTGGAGGCTTAAGGTCATGGTTTTATGGGACATCCCAGTTAATCAGCCTAATAACGTGTTTATTGCTTCTGTTCTATATCCTAGTTCATTGTGTAGTTCCTGGGGTCTTAAAAGCTTGCAAGTGGCCATCCAAGGCACAGCAATTGGTCTTTATTCACCTGGAGTAACAGAGGAAGAAGGTGAGTCAGGAATAGGAGGAGGATACGGAATGCATTGCTAATTGCCTCCGTGAACAGCTACCTCCTTTGCTGTGAGACCAGATGGTGCCTGGCTACCATTACTGAACATTTTGATCAAAGATTCCATAGAAGAATTCTGATCAAAATGGGGAAAATGCAGAATAGAATTTCAAATTTTCATGGACTCCAGACTTTCTGGAGCCATGAAGGGTGGATATACCCCTGAAACTATTGCTCTGAGATAATCTTTAAACCTTAAACCAAAAATATCCTCTGAAGTCATCCTGTAACTGAGCAATAAAGCTTAACTAGTGAAAAAAGGTCTGCCTTGAGCATTATGCTCTGTTAAGAACTACCTATATGGGATCAAATTAACAACAGCAACCCGAAAGATTAGATAGGAACCTTAGGGTAGTAAGTTTATGTTAATGAGGGAGAAACAACTCAGAAAAGGAGAGTGAGAATGGTTGCATAACTTGAAGAATGTAATCTTTGTCACTAAATGGTACATGTAGAAACGTTGAATTGGTATATGTTTTGTTGTGTATATTCTCAACAACAAAATCAAAAAACAAAAAAATTGGAAGGGACCTAGCCCAAAGCTGTGCAAATTCTGTGCAGGGAGAAGGAGTTTAATAGTTATTAGAGAGGTGAGAATTGTCAGATTGCTGCTAGCAGACTTCTACCACCATGACACAGTAAAAAGAAAATTTCTGCAGGGATATCAGAGAAGTAGGGACTCCGCAGGCCTGTAAGTCTCTTTGGGTGTTAAAATCCACTCTACCTCTGTGTGAATGATTCTGGCTATTACATGTGTGGAAGTGGGAATTCTCTATAAACTTCAAAGTTTGGAGAGGCAAATGGGAATAAAGAGGGGGATGAAATGTAGACTCAGAATTCTGACACTACTACTCATTTTACTAATGAAGGACCAGGTCTTTTCAAATGAAGGGACATATTCATGGTAAGATATCACTTGTGGTAGTATGTAGACCAAGAACTGGTAGTTCCCGACTCTTGGTCCAGGGCTTTTTCTACTTTATTACATTACCAGCAATCTTAACAAATTCATGCAATTCTGGGATGAAGGGTTGTGTCCAGAGTTCCAATTGACTTTCCCTAGAGCAGGATTTGAACAGCGACCTTCTCAAGCAGGGTCTGAACAGGATGAGAGACTCCAGTCTCTTAGGGATTGAGGCTTCTTTTCAAGAAATAGTTGGTAACTGCCTTTTACTTAAAAAAAAATCTTTCATTGAGATAGGGAGTTTTGTGAAGAAGTTTTAAAAAATCTGGAATGTGTCGTGAACTTTCTTGTTATCCTAACAAAAAGCCATGCTGATCTTCTGTATATTGTTCCAATTTTAACTTGCTTACCACTGAAGCAAGTCATGTATATGGTAAATGCTTCTGACATGTTTAGGAACATTATATTGAAAATTCAAACTGGATATATTTGGCTGCCTTGATATTTTTTTCTTTTGAAAAGGAACATATTTAAATGAGAAGCAGTTCTACCCCTCCAATGAAAAGGGAAAGTTTTAGGTCACTTGCTTGAGTGAAATAGATTATGGAACTTATGACCCCAGTTTTCCATTATTTTCAACTAAGTGGGCCATTACATGAGGCACAGTTAAGGTGGAAATCTGTCGTATTAGAAATGCTAGTGTTTTAATCTGATTTGTGATTAAACGTATTTATCAGTAAGATTTTTAGCCACCAAGAATGCATTTTGTGTATGTTGTATCATACCAAGGATGTTGAATGGAATCTATCAAATATGCTATTTATTTTTTTCCACGTTTTGCTGTGGTAATTTGTTTTATGATAACAGTTTTAGAAAGCAGTTTTCAAGATAACCTGGTCTTTCTAAATTAAGGCCGCCTATAATACATCCTTTTTGAGCTACTGAAAAGATTGATGCTTATGGTTAGGGTCTCAATAAAATGTAATTGCTTTTGATTTTACTGTGACTATAAAATGTCTTTTAATCTATTTTTTTTATTGTAGTTTAAATGAAGTTTACGTTTCAAGGTAGTCTTCCATACAAAAATTTATACACACATTGTTATGTGACACTAACTGCTCTCCCCATACTGTGACAACACACTCCTCCTTTCCACTCCTGATTCCCCATGTCCATTCAACTAGCTCCTAACCCTCTCTGCCTTCCCATCTCACCTCCAGACAGAAGCTGCCCATTTAGTCTCTTGTATCTACTTGAGCTAAGAGGCACACTTCTCACAAGTATCACTTTATGTCCCACAGTCCAGTCCAATATCTGTCTGAAGAGTTGGCCTCGGAAATTGTTTTAGTTCTGGGCTGATAGAGAATCCAGGGGTCATGCTTTCCAGGGTTCCTCCAGTCTCAGACCATTAAGTCTGGTCTTCTTACTAGAATTTGAGTTCTGCACCCCACCTTTCTCCTGCTCCATTGGGGACACTCTGTTGTGTTCCCTGTCAGGGCGGTCATTGGTGGTAGCCAGGCACCATCTAGTTCTTCTGGTGTCAGGATGATGAAGACCCTGGTTTATGGGGCCCTTTCTGTCTCTTGGGCTAATACTTTCCTTGTGTCTTTGGTGTTCTTCATTCTCCTTTACTCCAGGTGGTTGGGACCAATTGATGCATT